AATTATTTGCCCCTCACGATATTTTGGAATTCTCGTCAGTGATAAGATGCGTTAATCTTTATATTCACTAATTCTATCGAATATTTTTAGCTTTATTTTCGCCTTCAATATGCGTTTCGAAAACGAATTTTATCGTCGAACAATTTCTGATTCGACACTGATAAAAATCATATACATTGTCGACATCTCAGTGCTCAAACGCAAAAATTGTGCGTCAAGTTTATTTGAGGTCGACTACTGTAAACCAAGCCCCCATCTTGACCGTTCGAATATTGCAATTCAATGCACGTGACTCGATCCATTTTTTTTTTTTTTTTGCTTTTCGCAAATATTCCGCTTCTATATATATATATATAGCATGTTAGAGGCAAGTTATTAATCTCTAATTTCATTGTTCACATTTTCGTGTTAATCTTGTTGACAATGAGGAGGATATTGTAAATTTTCATGTCAGCAAGTACAGCATAATGAATCTATATTCAGTTTTATTATTCTCTTGCAAGTCGGAAAGTCATTTAGTTTTCATGCAGTCATTTTATTAAACCCCGCAGCATTACGTAATCAATTTAATTACAATTAAATCTCCTTTTTGTTACAGAGATGGAGCGTCCCGGCAAGAAAACGCACAGAGATGAGGATCTCAATGAAGTTACGGTGAGTTTAAAGGCAACGGTAATTAACAGTAATTGGCTTAAAAGGAAAACGTATAGTTAACATCACACTTGACTCCCGTATAGTGACATTAAGTATCTTATTAAGATAAATGTAATTGAGAAGAAACAGCTATACGTAAATCTGAAATTGAAATCTGAAATATCCGCTAAAACGGATGCACTATTCTCGTTATTTCATTTTCAAGATCCATTCTTATAATGAGTATGAAACGAGCAAACGAAGAGATAGGACTCGGCGCACTTGTCGTGATTTTTTAGTTTGTCGGACTGGCCTACGCTCGATCTAAGGATTAAAAACGATCAGATAATGCTTTTTCGAAATTTTCGATAAATTTACTCATACAGAAGAGAAAAGTCTCGCCTAGAAGTCTGTTTCATTTTGCCCAAAAGGCATATGTGAAGAATTATCTCTGAAATCCTTATTACATGCGTAAATAAATTAAGCATTTCCTCGAAGAGCGTTAGCGTTTTCAAGGTACGCAAGTGCAGGACGATGGGCGGCTGCCACAAAACAAACCGCCAACAAGAACAAAAATATTTGAATTCCCACTGTGTCCTTATATTTATATATATATATATATATATTAGGTGTGCAAATAAATTTTGCGTTTTGAAATTTGTTGCTTTATAAAATGTACGTGACGCGTTCCCTCTCACCTAAATTTTGCCTATATTATAGGTAACTTGGATATTTCTGCTTGCACGGTATACGTTTCAGTGTATTAGTGTAAGTAGTGTTTAAAAAGATGAATGTCATCCATGGAACTGCATTTTATTCCGCTTCAAACTAAAGAAGAAAAACTACCAATGTAGTCCGACGTACCGAGGAGTAAAAATGCGGTAGGCTATCAGATAGTTCGAGAGTAACTCGCGAGATTTCTTGCAAAAAAAAAAAGTCTTTTCTGGCCTGTTTCTGGACAAAAGTAATCCAGAAAGTGATCTATCTTCAAGTTGGTCTGAGAATCTCTTCCAGTTACGGTATATTCTCCAGATTTGGTCTCTTCTAATTATCGCTGGTTCAGATCGATGCAATTGTATTTAGCAGAACAGTATCTCTGTAGATCTCTGAAGATCTGCTAAAAAGGAACCGGCGCGTATTTTACCTTGGTACCGCAAAGTTTCTATCGTCAGGGCATTCACAAGATGTCCAAGAGGCAAGCAAAGGGATCGCAGATAGTGTGTATAATTTATAAATACATTTGAATTTATTTGCACACCTACAGTAGAGGATAGTTAAGAGGAGTAAAATCGTTTTAGAAATTCGGATCTCATTATAGATCGTGTCCTATCTACGTGTCCAGGCTATCTTTATCTTTATGTTGTTGATGGCGAATGAGATCCTAAGTAAGCGATGAAAAGAAATAAAGCCAAGTTAATGAAATTTATCTCTTATCTTGAAATTTTAATGTTGAGAGTATTTTTTAGTAAAATTTCAAAGCCAAGCCAAGCCAAACATATTAAAATAAATGTAAAATAAACTGTAAAGCTACTCTGCTTATGGTATATGTAGTTATTATCTCTTTTTGTTCTTGTTTTCGTTTTTCTGGTTTTTTTTTTTTTGTTTTTTTTTTTGTTTCTTTCGTTCTTAAAATGTTATAGAAAAATGAAATTGTTCTTAAAGAAAATAGACATGAAGACAGCGCACGCAATCAAAACGGTCGTCTGTATAAGGAGCGCGGCTCTGATGCTGGCATTTATGGCAGTTATGCATCACATACACCCACCAAACAATGGGAGCTTGTCAAATTAATAACAATGTCAACATTAATAGCACTGTTGACATCAACACGCAATCTATTCTTATTACTGCTACCATTATCGTCAACAAATGACAGCAATCAACGCAGCAATAATGACAGAGAAAGGAGAAAAACTAAAAGTCATTTAAATATAAATGCGAGTTAATAGGCCAATCAAAGGCAAAACTATGTAATTAATCAAAATAAATGATTGCAACAATTAAATTTAAAATGTAATAAAACGATGATAACAACAACAACAGCAACAGCAACAACAACAACAACAACAAGAATAGCTTATATATATATATATACATATATATATATATATATATATATATATATGAATATACATAATACATGAATATTGTATATGCGCAGGCAAGAGCAGTGACAAATAGTGAATTAATAAAATTTAATTGAAATGTATTTATATATACATAAGATTATAAACAAGTGTTAATTGTATAAGAAAAAGGGGATAATCAATCATAAATGAAAACACTCATAGAATCATAAATACATATACACATACATATATACATCTATTGATGTTTAAATGCATACTTGATAAATACAGATAAAGACATAAATGTTTCTAATAAATTAATCAATTAAATGTTACCTCGTTATGTATTTATAATAAATGTGACCGAAAAGAGGAAAAAAAAAAAAAAACAGAAAAGAAAAGAAAAACATTAAACATGTGAAGCATAGTGAAGATAATAATCATGTGAATGCTATAAGAACATGAGTTATTATTATTATTATTATTATTAAAGTAATTATCAACAATTTGTTTCCATTTTTTCTGTTTTGCTTTATTTTACTTTTGCATTTAGCATTTAAATGATTATAAATTTCATTCTTATAACGAATTAAAAATATAAATATATTTCCATATGGAATTATAAACAATTCATATAATTAACGAAGAAGATAGTAATGCTTGACTCGCAGCATATATGGATGGATTGGCTACTTACTCAAGCAGCATCTTAAGCAGTTTTTTTTTTTTTTCTTTTAAGTTTGCATCCTCCAAGGAGCTGTAACTTCAAAATGGGTTTTCTTTACTCGAAATCGATCATAGATTAGTAGGAAATATTTCAGCAAAATTTTGACTGCTCTTTGAAATTGTGTGAATTTTTCTAGTTTTCTTGCTTACTTGTTAACAGCTAAGATCGATTTGTTGTTTATTTCAATTTTTTTTGAATTGACTCAATAATCCATGAGTGCAATCTTAACTTCCTAAGAACCGGTAAAGAATGCATAGACAAATAGGGAATAGATATATGCGGACGTAGATAGGCGGACGTGCGGTTGAATAGACAAATGCTCGTACACTCTAATTGACATACAAGCACACTAGGGGACATTTACACTAATGAGTTATACTATAAGACGGGCAAGTGAATAGATGGATGGACAAGTAAATATGTAAAATAAAAAGAGTATGTCACGTAAGTAGATGAACAGAACCACATGCAGGTAATAGTGAATAGTGGATGAATTGTGATTCGAAATGTATTATTGACATTAGCAAAGAAAACCCGGTCATTACAGCGAATTTCGTACACACCAAGCTGTGCGCTATGGACATTGTACTCAGCAAATCAAATTGATTTTCATATAATGAGAGCAAGTAAATAATGCTTAACATTGATAAGCCATCAAAGATTGAAGAGCCACCAACATTGTCCCTTTATGTCACGGAGCAATGATTAATTCTCCGGAAATCCCTCGATCATGTTAAGTCAGTTCTGTAAGTCAGTTCTTGTAAGCGGCGTAATCTTACGTAAATCGAAACGAGGGATACTCTACAGCAAAGACATTTTAGTGCAGCAAATTATCAAAGACAATGTTAGCGATCAATAATAATGAATATATTTCATCTCGATACGTGATTCATTTTGAAAATGCTGACGATAATAGAACGGATTTATATGGACTCTGGATGTATATGGATTTTATGGATAATTTTTATCTTTACAGCGACAAAAAAAAAAAAAAAAAAATAGAAAATGTTATTGAAACATATTTGCCATAAATAGATAAAGTGTAAAGCATTTCGAAAAGAAATATAATACAAAATATTTATGACAGTATAAATATGACTTACTTCAATAAATAAGAAAACAAAATTATTTCGTCTCTCTTCGCTCACTTATTTATAACAAATCTTCTCTAAGATTTAAATAAGCTTTTTGTACAATTTAACAACCTATAGCGATTGGATAAATAAATTTAAAATTGTGTAAATAATTTGTATGACATGAAAAATATAAAATACAAAATAAAAAGAAAAAGAAAAAGAAAAGAAAAAAAAAAAAATAAAGAAAAAAAAAAAAAAAAAAAAAAAACAATTAAATCCCTTATAATCCTTGTAAATAATTGCACTTAAAATTACATAAACTATAGATTGAATAACTGCCATTTTAATGTTACTTTTCTAAAAAGTCAAGAACATTAACCAAAATATTATAAATAATAATAAAAAGAAAAAGTTAGAAAAACTTTTAATTGAATTATAATAATAATAATAAAAAAGCTAAGCTCCACTATCATCGACATTACTAATTCCGTAAATTTCCCTCTACTTTCATTAAAAACAATAAAAAAGATTTTCATGACATGTTTAAGAAAATTTTGCAAAATTTTACTTTACGTGAAATTGACGCAATCGATTTTTAAGGGAAAATCCATCTAGGGATTACCTACGCATGCGATCGTAACAATTGCGGTTCGTACTCAAAGAAATTCATGCGTATTATAGGGAGGAGGGAACTACGTATATATGTAAGATATATTTAAAGCATTCGAAAATCACATATAATATGCGTGTATTTTACATTTAGAAATGATTGAACTCTGAATTCGGTTGAGTTATTCGGTTTGGCCGTCCATTGAAATCATAACTGCGAATATAAAGTTTTGTTTTAAAAAAAAAACAATTATCACTTACCCAAAACTATCGTAAAACAAGAACATTATAATCTCTCAAGGTCGACCATTAAATATCCTATAACTGTTCCCCTACTACAATTATTCGTGCGTTCGTTATTGGTTATAATGCCAAAGATCAAGAATTTAACTTTATTTTCGAGCAAAGGCATACTTTTCGGGAAGACCAGCATCATGCAGAACACCCAAAAGATCATATGAATGAAATGATTCAAGTGTAGCAAATCCTAACTCATCTCCTAAAAATTTGTTTTTATTTTTCAGTTTTCGTCATAATAAACTAGAAATTAGACTTTCTCTCTCTAGCTAGCCCCCTATATATCTTAGGGTCTTAATAAGTAGACCTATGTGGTCCATGCATTATTGTCTTTACTGAATTGCAACTAAAGGCCAATATTCAGAATAAAACGTTGAAAAATTAAAAGTTTTTCTGGAGGGTTTACTAGCTATCTAGAATAGAAATTTTATGGGGAGTATAGTCCAAGAAATAGACCCATATGGTTCAAATTTGATCCTAACCTAATTTTTATGCCAAATTATTATCATTACAAAATATTAACAAGTAGACTTTCTTGATATATAAGGGTTCGCACTTCCTGAGAATATTTCCATGCGACGTTAAGGTTAAGTTTTTTGTCAACTTACTATTATGAGCCGACTTCCACTACAAGACATTGAAAAATTACACCGTTTGACTATATAAACATTTTTATAGTTTTTGTGGGAACGGTTATAAGGGAGGTAGTACGAAAAATTGGTCCATCCAATCCAAAGTTTTCACAGCAATTTAGAATATATAACTATTATCACTGAGAGACTTTTGCCGAAAAATTTTAAAAATTTGCAACTGGAAGTGCAATTGCAAGTGATCAGAAAAGTTAACCGATCTGAACCATTTTCAGCAGAATTTGTTCATGGGTCAAAGCACATCAGTGTACCAAATTTCAGCAACGTATCGCAAAAATTACTATATGTAAGTTGAACACAAATTTAGACGGACCAAGCTAAGACGGACAGACAGGCTTATATCGTTTCAGAAAGTGATTGTGAAAATTCTTTTGAGTGTAACATACATACGTCCGCATACACTTGAAATACCCTGCACTACAGATGGTGTAAGGTTGAAAAGCCATATACAGATTGGGTCCAGTCCTTCGGTGTTTTCTCTGTTTTCGATTATTTTGAAAAAAACCAAAACAATGTCACGAAAACAACTGTGACTCAATTAATAACTCAATGAATGATCGAAATGTCATAAGAATTTTCGAAAAATCATCTGAATTCGTAAACAATGGCAACATCTACCTATGATCCTGTGAACTTATTGAGTGATTTGTTATAACTACTTGGATGAATCTTCGCTTTACATAGCAATCAATTCAAATATTGCATAAAAAGGGCGCGGTTTGTACATGATTCCTTCATCCCTCATAATTCCTTTTTAAGTTTTTATAACAAATTCTTTGCTACTCTTTTAGCGAAAATTTCTATATAAGCAGTGTAAGCAGTTGTATGTAAGTCAGCGATGTCTCATATTCGCTTAAAAAATAGCGAAAAATAATTGAAATTTTTTGCATTTATCATATAAATAATTTGTTAAGAAATATATTAGATTATTATTAAACTTGATGCTCAAAGCTTAAAAACTTAAAACTTAAGGGGGAAAAAAAAAAATTAAAAAAAAGGATACATTAACACAAAGGTTCTCATAACCAAAGACATTGACATGCCTACCAAATATTTTGTAAAGCTATCATTAGAGCAAAGTTATTAAAATAAATTTATAAATGTGCCAAACAACAACAACAACAAAATAAATAAGTACATAAGTAATAAATAATATAAGAAATGAATAAATAAAATAATTAAAGTTCTTAATATTGTTGTTGAATAAGAATATTTTTAACATTTTTGCTTTAATTTAATCAAATAAAGTATACGCCGTCGGCCTGTCTTACAAGATTTGAGAAGACTCGGATTACGGATACCCATGGTACAGTTAAAAAAGGACTTTAAGCTTAATATCATATATGCCATAATCAACAAGTCATACTGCTTATGAGAATGGCTTGCTCTACATTTTAGCCTCACTTTCTTCATCATGTTGTAAGGAATATCGCTTTTTTATATATATTATTTGCCATATAAGCGATTAGTAAATTCATCCTGAAATTTATAGGTTTTCCATAATAAGTTTAAAGTAGTAAGTAAAGAGGAGTACAGCGGTCATCACTAACACCACAGTACAGCGATTCATATTACGACGTTACACAATAACGTTTTATACGGAAGC